GACATTTGACAGCTGTGCTACTGTTTATAAAACTTTAACACACGGGCTCAGGAGATATGAGTGCAGTCCTCTTGCGTCAAAGCACGGGAAATCAAGGGGCAGCGTGTGCAGTGTTTGTCTTTAGTGGAAAAACAAACAAAAAGAAGACATTTTAACCTGAGCTGAATCCACACTATGACATCCACTCTGAACAAAGAGTGGTCACTTAATTGCCTCGGAAAAGTCCTGGCATCTCTGGTGCCCGCCCATAAAAACACCATAAAGCTCTCAGCACATGAAGTGAAACAGCGCCAGATCTCTGCAACAGCCACTGCTCACTCTATTAGTTACTGTCGGAATAAATAGAAAATTAATGGAGGTATTTGAAACAACCAGATTAAGTTCAGTTTGTGGATGTGTTTGCGTAAGTCAAACACTTAATATTAGTCAATATCTTGTATTTCTTTGTAAGAATTAAGGCCTCTGCAGGTGCCTTGTGGTTTGTGGTACGATACAGAATACAGTACTAACATGATTAAAGGGTGGATCTGATAGCAGCTACACAGAAACGCATACTTGAAGAATACCACGCCCAGCAAATGACCTCATGAAGGCCTGCCAACGATCAATCTGATGCACTGAAGTAAACTTTGAAATTCCCAAGCAGGGCAGCTCTAACCTGTCTTGAGCTGCTGACCAGACCATTACTTACGCTGAGCAAGTCCTACAGGGAGTTTGTATAATCACCGGTCTGTGGAGCTAATGGAAGCTCATCATACAGTGAGGGGTGCAGTCACACTGACCATATATCTGCTCGGATAATGGCTACTTGGCCTTAAAAGTCCGATCTACAACATAATCTGCAATATTGTTAAGTAGAGTGTACATTATGGAGGGAGATGCTTTCAAAATCCCATTACGCCCTAATCCTTCCACACTCCCTAATGTATTACCCACAATCCCCCCACTCGTGGAGCCAGGCCCTCAAAACAAACAGAAAAGCTTTTCTTTTATCCCTTTTCAAGAAAGCATGTCTTATTTGATCAATACACATCATGTCCCAAGAGATGGATGAGAATTAGTGCTCAGTGGATGTGGACAAGCCGAGTGATTCTCCTCTTTGCTGACTCGATTAAGCAGAGAGTGGATCAAAGGCTTGGCCCCAGCGTGGACACAGGTCCCCTTGCTGTCATTGTGTCTCACCGAGGCGATCGCACTCACCCTCAGACAGTTATTCAAAACTATTCAGCTCATTACTGAATTTCATCATCTTGTTTTCTTCATCAGCGTCGTGCACTCACGCAGGTATGCGTTGTTTGGCCTTTTATCCACACTGTGAGAACAGCTGGCCTCAGTGGCAGCCTCTGACATCTGGATCCAAACAGAGTAATGACCACCTTCTCCATATGTCTGACTCCACCTGCATCCAAAACAGCGAAATATGGAGAAAAGCCTCCTTCAAAAGCACACAAAGCAGACAGGCTGTTTTTATTTGATCCCCTCTGAGATTGTATTTCCTTAGAAGAATACATGTAATTACTTTTTTCATCCACTGCTGCCGTTTCCCTCCTGACCTGACGCCTATCTCCTTCTGAAGACCTCACAACTCAAGAGCACCACCTAGTGTCTGTGGACTTACAGTGTGTTCTCTCGTCAGCTCCACTTTCAGCCCCCAAAAACATGCATTACACGCTCATATTGATCCACTGTTGGGATGACATACTAGCTATCGCTTGGAGTGTTATTTCAAAGGGAGAAGGAAATCAATAGCAGCACAGTCTGGTTAGAGACCTCAGCATTGATCTAAGAAGCCCAGGACTGGACCTCTGAGAGGGCAAGGAAAAGCACTAGAGAGGCTTGTCATGTTGCAGCCAAATCTCAGGCTCCGTGTTTACAAGAGTCCCTCAAATGGAAAGCTCTGCTCCGGTGTCTTGTCAGTACTGATTGTTTATAAATATGGCAACTGCCTCCTCCAGTTAACATCCCCGCTGAGGTTTCCACAGGACGTGTAGCTTTGAAGCTTTAATGAGCCCTTTTCATCAATATTGGAATGTCGGGTCTTATTAACCCCAAAAAGGCCCCTGATCGATACCCGGCGAGGTGGTTTAAGGGAGGGCATCACTCAGGTCCAGAAAGCAGGTCAGGATTACTCCCCCAGCCCTGTAAATAATCATGCAGACTGCTGATGCAATCATCGGATGCCACCACACTATATTATGTCTGAGAGCAATACACTCCCACAGGCAGAGTTATTATGAGTAAACAGGAAACAAATCAGCAGTTTTACCTCTCTGGGCTGTAAATTAACAGCTGCTTTCATGTTATTGATGCTCGGTTACAATATTAAACTTATTACCTGCAAAGAGTTGCATTCAAGGTCTGTGATTCCACCCGAAGAGTCAGGGTGAATTTAGTGCTGATCACCACAGATGCATTGTTGTTGTTGGGTTTCACAGAGGCCAAGTGCTGGTACACACACTGAGAAGTATACAGAGGAGAAACACTGACTTCATGCACTTTACACTCAAAAGTTTGGGATGTAAAACCATCAGAAAGCCCCCCGTTTATTGGACAGTGGCCCTCAAGGAAAATCAGTCAAAGTCATAATGATTATAATGAGGTATAAGGATTCAAGGCTTGGCTGCTCCGAAGGACTAGTGTGAAAAATAAGGATTATGAGAAATAAATAAATATAAGTCAAATGTACACATATCACATATCTTTATACTGCCCTGCACAAAGTTTATTTGCACAAACTTTGTGCAGGGCAGTATAAAGAATTCACTGAAGACAACATGCTACTCAAGATGACAAGGATAAATTTAATATTTTCTTTATTTTGTTGGTTTTTGTAACTTTCCTAAAAAGATTTCCTCTCTTCAGATCTTCAGCCAAAACAGGTTGGGAATGACTGGTATATGTTGGAAAAGCAGGTGACTTGGAAAATTACATACAACTACGCAGATCTTTAAATTTACCTGCTGCTCTTCTCTTACATCCTAAAAATATTTTCCACATGAGGGTCAGTTTGATTGTCGTGAGGGACACAGCACAACCTTTGGAAATATACTGTAGGTTGAGTATTCTGTGGTTCTGAAGGGAGCTGACATCAGGATACTTTATGTTTTTAACAGAAGAAAACTGAATTAAAAAGGGTTACATGCGGATTTAAAGACAGGACAGAGCTGGTCTGATGGACGTTTTGTTGCATTGCATTATGGAAAATGCAGGATCAAGTGTTTTTGAAGCTTGATTTATACTTGGAACTAAAAGTGAGGACTTCTTCAGTTCTGCTGCACATATGTTGACCATTATATTTTTTACATCTTGTTTCATGTGAGTCGCCAAACTAAAGGAAGGTCCAATGCTAAATCACTGGAGTATTCTTTAAGCCTTTCTGGTGACTGGATAGATCTGTGTGACAGACATGAATGTCAAACCTGACAGTCAACACACTGTTGATTTCTGTATCTATCCCTATGCTCTCTGTGCATGATTATGAACTTCCCAAAACCTGATAACTCCACATCAGTATGTTGACTTGTTCATGTCTTAGCCAGCAGAGAAACCTGGAGAGATGCAGAAGACAGAGGAGGTGGCGAAGAGACGGACAGGGAGACAGGATGGCAGCATGTTGTTTACCTTGTAGCAGTAATCCGACGTGTATAAAACCTGCACCTCTTCTTCTGTCAGCTGGTTGTGAAATGTTACCAGAGCCTGGTCCAGTTTCAGACGGGGCCCTGTAATGGTTATATGATTTACAGCTGCTGCACAAAGCTTTTTGTACGTCATAAATACAAGATAGCAGAGGGTGTATCAGATCATCATCAGGATCATAACACTGACTCAATACTATTGACTGATTAAGTTCCCAAACAACTGACACGTCCATTTGTTATAGTGAAGTTTTAACCTTGATCATGAGAAGCAAACACTGACACGAGACACCAAAGAGAGCACGAATACTTTTTGATTTTAAATTTACATGTAAAGACTACACTACTACTACCACTACAGGAACATTTTTGTCCCCAGGCCAGTGGACACCAGAGTGATCCATATCCAGCACTAATGAACCACACTGGACTCACCGGATTTCAAGTGTCCGTGGCTGCTGGCGACAAGGATTAACACAGTCAGACTTGCTTGTAGCAGTATCGTGGGATCCATGTTTCTACTTGAAAACAGCCACAGTTCATCTTTATAACTCTCACACCAATATAAACCGCGGTCAAAGGGCAGAGCGCAGGCGTGGTTCTTTTTAATTGGTTTCCTTTTAATGTTTGGGATCACTTTTGGAGCAGAAATAATCAATGAGAACTGTCATAATTCATGGAAGGGATGATTAATAAAACCAGAGGGAATGAAAACTTCTCTCAAGTTTAAAAAGGTTGTAGGTGCAGATGTGTGTATTAGTGCTGAGGTCAGACATAATCTACATTTCTAAACACCCTTTGCTCCTCTATTTGACTCCAATCTAATGGTTTTGTTTCCAATCACTGCAGCCTTCCTTTCTAACCACAACACTAAAGCCCCGTTCTCATTTCCCCATCCAGCCAACTGTTAAATGCTGATCACTTGTCACATCCTCTCCTCTCCTCTCATTTCATTAACCAGTTCATTTCCCTGAGCGCTCGCCGTGACAGATGAATTCACGGGGGGCGCTCTCACAGGAGCACCTCATTAACCTTTGACATGAACTCCTCTCAGCCAAAGAGCAGAGCTTTCTTTAAAATCTGCTGTCCTGTTCAACAGAGACCTTATTTACACTGGGCTTTTATTCTGAAGTTTAAGTTCATGTTTAATATGTGTGCACACAAAACATAAAATACATTATTAAAGAGTGTATAGCAGTATCTTCATCCTTTCATCACACGGTAAACACTGCTGCGCTCGCCTTTGTGCTGCTGCAATAGCTGGCCTCATGCATGCCTTGTGCAACAGATGACAGTTTATGATTAAACCCGTGCTGACAGGTGGCTGTGTAACTGCTCAGCCGTGGGGATTTCTGTTCAGGCTTCAGTGCGGGCAGCTAAGCAGGACCCGCAGCTCATGCCTTGGATGGATTCATTCCAGTTGCTCTCCCCGGCTGCCACAGCAGATTTGCCTCTGTGCAGCAGGGAGCTGGAGCTGGAGCTGAACCTCCTCTGTGTATGAAAACACTCTGTAAACATGGTGAGTACACAACCTCTCTGCATTGTGTGTCAGGAGTGCTTACTGCGTCACACACCTGTTGGCATTTACTTAATCTCACAAGCTAAAACTCCACGAGATAATGTTTATTGAAGATTGAGAAGCACATGTTCAGAGTCAATTTAACACTGAGTTTCATATGTGGCAGTTTGCTTTTGCAGGGATAAGAGGGATATAAGCACATTCCCCTGTTTCTGCATTAAGCCTCTGTGTGTGGTGAGTAGATGAGGTTTAATTCAGTGGGTGTTGTTCGTGTGCTGCCCATTCGTTCCACTGATAGAGCAGATTAGAGCGTTGCTATGATACCTGTTGATGTCATTGCTCTGTCACAGGCTGTGGTCATGCATCTGTTTGCTCCTCTGGCGTGTAAGCGTGACCGCTCATCTGGGGACAGAGCCTTGAAAAGCCCCTTCCTGATTGTGCAATAAAGCCCCATCTGTTTTGGCGATGTTGTGAAATGTTGACAGTGCAGTTTGGATTTGGAGTCAGGGTCATGAGGGCTGAATGAAATGAGATGAATCGACTTTTAAAAAAACAAAAAAAAAACAAACATGTGATCCTGCATCATGTGTCAGGATTAGGAACTGAATGACCAAAAGGGATCCCCCACCACCCCCACCCCCACCACCACATACCTTTGAACCAGCCAGTTTTTTAAAAGCAGGAATGCGGCCTCTCATTGTTTCCAGATGGGATCCCGTGCAACCAATCACAGTTTGTGTTTGTGAAACTGCCCCTCTAAAATCTGCTGCACTATTACCCCTGTTCTGTTCTGTCCTGCCAGGCCGGTAAGATACAGAGTCTGACTGACGAGGAGAGGACCCACCTACTCCCCCTGCTACGCAACGCTCAGTGGGTGGAGGTTGTGGGGCGGGACGCCATCTACAAAGAGTTTGTTTTTAAAGACTTCAATCAGGTTTGTAATGCATCACACCTCATAACCAGCAGCTGCTGTATGTTATGTGTATAGACGACTGGCTGATTTTTGGACATGGGCGTTCTCTTCTTTCAGGCCTTTGGTTTCATGTCCAGAGTGGCTCTGCAAGCAGAGAAGATGGACCATCACCCTGAGTGGTTCAATGTCTATAACAAGGTATACAAAGACTAATTGTGACTGCAAAGGAGGTTACAGGCCTCAGAGTGGTTGCATTTGGGGTCATCAGTGAATACATCACAGCAAGGAGGAGCCCAGTCCTGTCACCATGTACCAGAGCTTCACATTCGTTCATCTTTTACATAATGTGATCTACATTTAACTGCAAAGTCATGATGAACATTAACAAAGATACTCCTGTCACACAAGCTGACACAGGTGCATGATGTCTCCTCAGGGAAGTGTGAGCCTTGTGCGAAGCTGTTTTCCTTGCAAATGCAGATGTGTCTTTCACCCAGAGCAGATAAAGCTTCAGTATGACTCACTGAAGCTGCTGTACTCTGTCTTTTTACATTAATACTGGACCAAGTGACTGTGTGAACTGTGAAAGGACTCTGTGAAGTTATTCAGCTCACTGTTTTGGTTTTATGGCCCGCAACTTTACTTTTTTCGGTTGACATTTCAGCGAGGCGGCTGGTGAGTTAAGGGGGCCAGATATTTCCCTCAGGAGTTGGTGAAGACCAAAACAGAGCTAAAAGAAGGACTTACATTAGTCAGGTGGAAACACCACGACAGAAGCCTGTAGCATGAAGCGAGATTGGTGGATTATCCAGTTATGTTTGGGCTTAATTCAGGTTTTCTGTGTCAAAGTCTGTCCCCCCTCAGATAAGAGTTAGAATGGTTTCCTATGGAGTAAGTATTTGTCAGTTTGATCTGATCAGGTTTTGACTTTTCTTCTCCTCTCTGCTTTGGCAGCAGAAACAATAACACATTAACATCCATTTTTTTTATTTTATTTCCATCAACAACCATGGTGATAATATGTCAGTGTTGTATAGCTTGTTGCCAGTGATCAGAAAAACGTCGGCCACGAGCTGTTTCATAAACTAGAAACATAATTCAGATTTTAAATTTGAAGTTAAAAACTTCTGTTGAGTTTTATACCTTGTATGTTTTCTTCAGATAGTTTTAGATTTCAACATTAGTCCACATCATGCTGGGTTAACTACTGTTTCACCATTTAAAAAAAAAAAAAAAAAAAAAAAAAGCAGCTCATTCTGGGCACATGATGAGAGTCACAGCCTCTGTCCCACTTTCCTTTGTTCCCTCAGGTCCAGATCACCCTCAGCACACATGACTGTGGAGGCTTGTCCCAGCGCGACATCACATTGGCCACCTTCATCGACCAGGCGTCTCTGATGTGACCGACATGCCGTCAGTCATCTGAACGGGGACGACTGAAGCGCTGGACGTCACAGATCTTTACGTTCAGTCATCTGCAGGAGCCAAAGAATATGAACCAGTTACTCCCACTTAACTGTGGGTGACGTGTCCGTCTGTGAAGGGTCCAATGTGTTTTGTTGTTGGTTTTTGCACATGGTGAAAATGAGATTATTAAGCAAAGGAAATGGTAAAACACTGTTTACACATTAAAGGATTCAAGTAATTCCTCAGCAACCAGATATCATTCACAGCGGGACGTGTGTCCTTCAGTCTCTGGCGTCTTATGGACCAAGTGTTCTTGTACTTTTAGTTAAAAGTTGTTTTCTCTCTTGTTGTAAGTGAAAAATGACCAGAAGCTGATTCTTCTCAGACTGAATGCATTTTATTGAAAACACACAACACTGTAGACATCTGCCATGTTAACTGTTAGACCACTCTGAGTGTTAGCTATGGATCATTGGCTAAGAGGAACCGGCAGGTGCGTCCTCACCTAAAATAAATCAGCTAAACAAGGACGCAGGCTGACGTGAACAGATTTAAACCTCGTACATTCAGAAGCAAAATCTACAAAGTTCAACATTACAAGCCTGACATCAGGTTATACTTGTTATGGGCTGCTGAAATGGATTGTAATATACTTTACAGCAGTGGTTCCAAACCTCTGGGCTGGGGCCCACTAGTGGGCCACGAAGGTATTGCAAGAGGGCCGATGAATCATTTGAATCATTTGAAAAACAACAATTTTGGTGAAAAATTAGAATTACAAATATATAATATGAAACATGTTTCAAACTCCTTTTTTTTCTTCTCGTATAAAGGACTATCACTGTGATAAACCAACAATAGGAACTTTTATGTTGTCGCCACTGAACAACATCATATACTTGTTTACTATCTCAGTCTGACTGCACGCTGAAAAATAACATCCAGGGTAAAAGCTCCATCGTTATCATTAAAATAAAAAGCGCTCTGAGAAGACATTACTTGGCCTCTGTAATTTAATGTAACGGCTGCCAAAGTTTGACATTTTCAAGTGGGCCATGAGTTGGAAAAAGTTGGGAACCGCTGATTTAAAGTGTTGTTTTGTCCTCCCTGTGAACGTCTGAAAGAGCAGTGGACTTTAACTGATGTCGTTTTGAAGCCAAATCCCTGAGGATGAAAAGAGAGAAAAACTGCAGAGATGTCATGAGTTCAAACCTCTGGAGGCACAGAGGCGAACGCTCATTATTGCTCCATAATATGGCCAAAGTACAAGAATACATACAGGACAGAGGATACATTTTCTGTGTGGACTTTTACAGAATCAGGAATTTGCATTAAAAATTTTTATTCAAGAGATTTCTTGGCCGTTCCATCATCACACTTTTTGAGGATATTTCTCCAAAGCAAACATTGTTAGAAAAGTCCTTTTTTTTTTTTGTTTTTGGACAGGCATGAGTTTCCACATCCTGTCACTGGCCGCAGTATTAAAGGATGGTAATAGATGATGGGGTGAGCTTCAATCGCTAGTGGGGTGGGGTGTTACGTCCTCTGTCTGGCATCAGTCTTTTAACCAGGCACTGACAAAAAGACGGAAAAATCCCCGCACATGTAAGAACCTAAATACATTCATGTCTGATCTCTTTAAAACAAACACTCACAAAAAAAAATAAAAATAAAATAAGAGTCACAAATTAAGTGATTAATAAAACACCCAGTGGTCACACAAATGGTTAAATTACACCAACAAGGCTGATGAGCTGTCAATCAACACTACGCCTCTGATAACGCATCTTAAACATTAATAGCGGAGCATTTCCCCCTTCGGTCTCATTCATAAAAAGGAGAAGTTACATATTGCACAAACGTGGAAATAATTTCATGGAAATACACAATATTAGGAAAGCCCGTGAAATAAAGAGAACACAAGGTCCTTTTGGTGTTGCGGTTATCAGCCTGTTAGTAAATGCTAACGTATCCTGCCGAGTGGAAAAGTAGATCCACATTCAGTGAAGCTGGAGACCTCCATCACAGTGGATCTGTTTCCTCTCGGTATCTCTAAGAACACTTTATTACAGTTTGTCAAATGCCCTAACATCGTGAAGTTTATGTTAGAAATGGAAAATGTTTGAATGTGTTTCAGTGGATGAATAAATGACATTAGAGTAGAAGCTGAGGTAGATTGAATTAGGAGTTAAATGATTAAAATAAGGTAGTACACAGGTGAGGAAATACTGAGCGTCTGCCACTTGATAATATACAGTAGACCAGGGGTGGAAACAGCCTTCAGTCCAGTCTGTCAATAATTTTCTTTACAGGCCAATTTACTGTGAGGAAGCCTCGCCAATTCTGAGGAACAATCAAAAAGGCTCATTATCTTTAGCCACTTAAAAATATTCCTACCCTGGTTACAATTTACCCCTTATTCCAATTTAAAGACATTTTATTGATTGAGTATTAATGACAGTCAAAGCTCCCACTGTCCAAATCCTTCTCCCTCTGTCTACACATCCAACCACTGTAGATGGACCACAGATTTAAAACAGAAAGAACATCATCACACTAAGTGCTAACGAACGAGGACAAACGTGTTCATGCTTACAGACGAACTCTGACATCAGAGAACTGCAGTTTCAAGTGATTTACAGATTAACCTGATATGTTCTTGTCTGGGCGTTGCAGTGCTTTTTTTTTTTTTTCCCCCCATTCATTAAAATGCTGTTTTCCATAGAGCTGGTACATGATATCTATAAACCACACACAGAGCTCCACATGTGGAGCCGGTCTGGAGCAGTACATCGGGTTTCATGCTAGAGGGCAGCACAGCGTTTCTAACAAGCGTTCAGTGGTCTGGGGTTTTTGCTGAGTCATCACAGATATTAAAGCGGTGATGGCGAGCTGAAATGTTGTGGAGTAAAAAAAAATACAACAAAAAAAAAAAAAAAACTGAATGGTTTTGCTGTGAAATCAGTAGAGATGGTGACAGATATATGGATTTAACAAAAGCTAAAATTGAAATGAACTTTTAAAAACACACACACACACACACACGCACGCACGCACACACACACACACACACACACACACACGACATAAAGAAAACCTAAATCAAAAAGACTAAAACTTGTTGTTTGGAACCAGACTCTTCTTCTCTGGGCCGTTGAGGCGCAGTGTTACAAGTGGTTTCCCTCTGGGTTGATTAAAATGACGATGGCTTGTGCTTCACAGATCTTTGCAGATGTTTCTCCGTATGCTGTAGGTATGCAAGATAAGGCAACTGTTGAGCTCTGGGAGGAGGCGAACGCGTTTTTCCCTGCGTGCAGTTGGGTCGGGGGCCACGGGGGAAGGGGGGAGGGGGGAGGGGGCAGTCCTGTTTCAGTGGGCTTTGCCGTTGCCGTTCATGTGGCTGTTGTTTGTCTTGGGAACCTCAGTGCTGTAGAGACAGTCGAGGAAGCCTCTGGAGATCTCCGTCACCATGGATCTGTCTGGGATGGACTGGGCCATGCCGTAGATCGCTCCCTGAAACAGCAGGAAGACACGAGTGAGTTGAGCAGCGCACAGTAGAGACAGTAGATTGTCGTGGTGTAGAACTACAGTTCTCATGATGCTTTGTAAACATGAAGTTGCCATGGAGTCAGTATGTTAGCTGTGGGCTACGACTTGAGCCCCCTCTCTTTCAGTAAGAGAAAAACAGCAAAAGTCTGTTGAAGTAGATGTTAGCAGGTCCTGTGCAGATGATCATCACTTTGATACTGAAGAAACATGATGATTCTCAGCCACGTTCTGGAGTTACAAGTAGATTTATGCAGATTAATTTGCGATTGACATTAGAGATGATGATATGCACTGAATGTGTGCGTAAGATTAAATCTAAAAATATAAGCATCATTTCTCTGCGTTTAGTTTTGACTGAGTCAAATAACTGTATTACTGTTTTTTTGTGATGGAAAACACAGTGGAGTTCCTTATTATATTGAAAACCAAACCTGAGAAATGAAACCAGTGAGAATAGACTGTAAAAATTCATTATTTATACTTCACTGTAATCTGGGGTTTTATTTAATAAAGATTCCACTTTATCTGAAACTTCACATGCAGTTTGTGTCAACTTGAAATGACGGCCTGTGCAGCAGAAAACAAACAGCTACACTTTAAATTCATGTTCAGCCCTGACGATAGATGATCGGCTGAACGGGAAACTGTACGATAAAAAACTGTACTGTGAACTGACTGTAGGTGTGAATTTATTCACTGTGCGTCAGCTCTGTAATAGACAAAAGACAGAAGGCAACATGGCAGTGCAGAATGTAACAGGTTGTCTGATTGTAGAGCATCAGAGCAAAACAGTGAGTTATTTATTCTTAGAACCTGTCAAAATATCACAACGTGACATCACAGACTTTACAGCTTTCTTTTTTTCTTTTCTTTTTTGAAGTGTGGACTTAAAAGAAGTGCACGGCGTTCTGTGCTGCGAGTTCTTTCTTGTGTTGTAACACAACTCACTGAACAGTTTTTAGTTATAGTTATTTAGTGGATACAACAACGTCAGGTGTGTAACCGGCGCCATCTCACCATTCCTGTGGTTTTCTCTTTGGGGTTCTTCAGGATGACGGCGACCTGCTCTCTGACATCACGAATAAACTGATCGGCGACCCCCGGCTGGGTGTGCAGAACTGTGCAACAAATGTGGATGCTGTGACAGAGGAGATCGCGACAGTTATTAGTAGTTACTAGTGGATACTTATCACATCATGAAATCTGTGAATCAATCTCACTTGTTTTACATGTACCTGGATGGGTACTGCAGTGTGTTCAGATTCCAGCCCTTCGACGTCAGTGCATTAGACAGACGGAAAATATCAAAAACATCTGAGCCTATTGCCACCACTGACACCTCTGGATCCCCGAACACAAACACTCCTTTCATCTTCTGGATTCTGTCAATGAGAAGAAACGATGAACGGATGTCAGAGGTGACGGGATAAACTATACTGTCTGTGTCTACTTCAGTCTGAGAGCCTCACTCTGTTTTGATTCTGAGTGCTGTGCTGATGATCTTCCTGGTGGCGTCTATGTATCCGTTCTCTCCCATGTGCATCATGGTCGCCCAGCAGGCGGCGATGATACCTCCTGGTCTGGAGCCCGCCACGGAGGGCGAGGCGTAGATTCCCCCCTGCCAGTCTGGAGCTACAAAGTACTGATAGTGACGGTACTTTTTATCACTGTAGAGGATCACTGAGGAACCTTTGGGGGCGTAGCCGTACTGCAGAGGAATGTGACACACACACATAAGCACAGTAACTATAGTACTATAAATATATCTTGGGGTCAGATAAGATAAAAATTTAAATTCCATAACTATTGCATCACACATAATTAAATGTCTGCAACTTGTTTGTAAGCCTTGTTTATTAGTGTTTAAAAACAAGAAAGAGTCAGTGAAGAAGCAGCCATCTGAAGCGAATAAGCAGCCACTCCTTACCTTGTGCGTGTCTGCAGAGATGCTGGTAACACCTTTTACCCTGAAGTCGAACGGGGCGAGTGGATAACCAGCCTTGGCCATGAAGACAATGAGAAAACCTCCCAGACAGGCATCCACATGCAGCGGGAGGTTGTAGCGCACAGCCAGCTGGAACACACCGAGGGAAAGTGTCAAGTGACATCTGACTTCCCCGTTTTCATTTCAGAAATACATGCAGAGGGGGAAAAATCTTTCACTCCTGACCTTGGCTACTTCCTCGATGGGATCCATGATTCCGTGAGGAAACTGAGGCGCCGAGCACACGAGCATGGCTGTGTTCTTGTTGATGGCTCTCTTCATAGCCTTGAAAAAGAGGAAACAATATGAGAATGACTGATGTCTAATAATAGCAGTCAGTTAGCACATAGTGTCTGCGTGGACTGTATTCTCACCTTCACATCCACTTTCATAGTTTTGTTATCAAGGGGAATGTGAACCAGCTTCATCCCGAAGTAATGTGCTGCTTTGTTAAAGGCTGCGTGGACGCTTACAGGCGCAAGGCTGCAAAAAGAAAAAAATAAATCATCATGCGTTAGAACACTTCAAGAAGGAACAAGCCTCCACATAGGTCCACGTGTCATTCAGTACACCTTACATTTCAGGGTATTTGACGCCTCGTTCATACGCCATGTCTCTGTACGCCTTGCAGGCCATCAGTATGCTCTCAGTTCCCCCTGAAGTAACCTGCACAAAGCAGAAGTAAAGGTACGTCACATATGCCCATCTTTGAGGTTACTGGCTTCTACGTTTTGGGAGCGTTTACCGACAGTGCGGTGACTTACTGTGCCGCAGGAGCTGGGCCCGCCTTGGAAAAGTGCGCAAGCCATCCTAACAACCTCTGCCTCCATCTTCCTTACGCCAGGAAAGATGTCAGGGTGAAGTGGATTGCTCCATGCAAAATCTCCATATACCTAACAGCAAAGGGAAAAATTTTCAAATATACAAATATTTCCAGACACAGGTTGGCAGCACTTTCATTTAGAGGGATGAACAGGACGTGTTTCTCAAAAATGACAAAAACAGAAGCAAAAAATAAAAAAGTAAAAAAGTACAAACAAAAAAAAGTATTCAAGCTTGACCTCGACTATTCATGCTTGAAATGCCAAGTTCCAGAGATACAAAGGCACGAACCTTCACAAGGAGTTTGGTCAGGGATTCATCGCCCCAGTACACTGCACCCGAAACACATCCTTTCTCCCACTGCACCTCATCTGCAACGACACACTGTCACTGGTTTTCTCCAAAAAAGGTCAGGCAAGTGAAATGCTCTCCTGGGACTGGGCTGCACAGTGTAATGAACCATGAGGGAGAGCTGAGGAAAGAATGACGACTTACTCAGAGTCTCGTACTCTCTGATTTTGTCCAGCACTTGGCTCTGAGAGAGACCTTTAGATGGCAGCTGCTTAGTGTAGCTCATCCCTTCCTTCAGCGTGCACAGACTGGTCGACATGTCATCCAAAGCTTTGTTCAGCTGGCTCTGGATCTGCCATGAAGAGAGGACGGACTTATTTTATCAACTGTCTTTTGATGCAGTAAAAACATTATACAAGTAAAGCAGGTTGTTGACAACAGGGAATAAAAGGTGAGGGATCAGTGTCTCAGACTTGAACGTGACAACATGTCCACTGTGCTATCAACATTTTATGTAAATTTCTGATAAAGCCTGAAAGTGAGCTCTCTGCTGGTGACATAATGACCAGAAGTAACCGAATGTTATCACCAGAGCATGATGTTAAGTGTGCCAAAGGTCTCATTCCCCCCTCTCCCCCCCCCACCCTTGCATGCTGCACTCAGTCATCCAGGAGTGACTCATTGGAGTCTGAGAGACAGAGTCAGTGAACATCTGCTGGGAAAAGACGGAACAGATTTACCACTGATACTTACTGCTATGCCAACAAAGGGTATTTTTCTGATGAGTCGAAAGCCCTGCTTCTTGATTCGGGATGTGAGACCTATTAGCCAGAGAGGGGGAAAAAAAAAAAAGGCAGCAGCTGTGGTGAAACTCTGGCACACATTCAACCACAAAATATTAAACAGCTGACTGTGACCTATAATCACAAGTCAGGATGAAGAGTGCGCCACGAAAACTCGCAGCCATATTGACAAAGCATTTTTATTCTGACCCTGAAAGCTCTGAAGACGTGCAGCTAGTTCTCCCTGAGAAGACCAACTTTCACTCTCCGAGCTGTGTTACAGGTGGAGCTGACCCCGCTGCCGAGGAATTCAACCACTGATTGACTGATAGCACATCTAGAAAGTCTTGTTGATTGAAGGTATTTGTCAGTTACACACACTAGAGAAACAAGTCCTGGACTAACTGCAGAGCACGGGGGGAAGCTTAAACTTAAAAAAGGTTTTCAGTGTAGAGCACCAGAGGGTGAACCTGGTGGCAACAGTTCAGTGAATGTGCCTGCAAATTACAGCATGACTCAAGAAGCTTTGTGAACACGTCCTCTGCAATTTCAGGAGTTCTAAAACTCATTTCATGTGTTATCATCTCTGATTCAGTGTACAGCAGACCTGCTTTGTTCCCATGTGTTATGTGTGATGACTCACTTTCTTGCTGGAAGAGGAAGCCTTTGACCCAGACTGCTCCCAGCGTGGTGATGACCGCCGCTCCGATGATCTGCCACGGCTCCAGGTCGGCGCAGCGCAGGTTGACCTGTCGCCGGCCCTCTTGCAGGTACAGCAGGACCATCTCCTTATACACCTCCAAGGCACTCTGCACGCACACACACACACACACGTATTACAATTGAATGAACAGCGTTTAAGACACACAACATTTTGATTTTGAAGGAAGAAGAGTCTAACAGTTTATGTTTACCGGAAAAAGAACTTTCTTACTGTAAACACACCTGTCACATATGAGGAAGTGTGTTGATGGAGAGTAAGTCATTGTTTGACCATCATATTACAAAATGGTGCAATGAATTCATTTCATGAGACAAGACGCTTTAATGTAAGAGCCTGCTTCTCACAAGTTCCTATAAATCTATGTACAGATATACATTATGGAGGAGGACATCACATTATGGTAAAAATCCTGCATATGATCAATATAAAATTTTCTGAGTCACGCTCTAAATGTCTGTGAATGTTCTCATTCGTCCAGGTCATAGTTATCTCTCTCTCTCAAATTAAATCGAAGGCAACTGGACCTGTATTTGTCTGTGGAAGACGTTTCGCCTCTTATCCAAGCGGCTTCATCAGTTCTTATGTATTGGTCTCTCTAGTCCGCACTAGTCTGACGAGTGACCAATACTAGTCAGACTAGTGCGGACTAGAGAGACCAATACATAAGAACTGATGAAGCCGCTTGGATAAGAGGCGAAACGTCTTCCACAGACAAATACAAGTCCAGTTGCCTTCGATTTAATTTGAGAGAGAGACACGCTCTAAATCTTTACGATGACAGAAAAACAACTCACTTTTCAGGAAGAACAACCTGTTAACTGGTTACCATCACAGACCACAAACTTTAGTACTTACATCAAAAGACATTGTGAGACCTACAGAGCTCAGTTTCCTCCTCACACGAACACTGTCAGTCAGCTATTTGTTCTCCAGGTGAGAGTGAGAGAACGCGCTCTGCTTACAGGATGACTATCACCAGGCTCCTCCCACTGCACAAACCGGCAACAACACATCCAGCCAGCTGAGGGGATGTTTTGCAATCAATCGTGATCAAGACAAGACAGGAAGTTAAAACACTGAGATCTGCATTGCGTGTTTAGTTCTCAGCCTGATCACCAATAAATGTTGAAATATTTCATGACGATCTTGATGTGAGTGTTTTTTTCAGCCTGAGTAGCTCTGAGCTTAAATCAGAGTAAATGACTCATGAGGGCCGTTTCATAAGTGCAGCAAAATTATCTTTTCATTATCTCTCCCCTGTTGTGTTTTTATGACACAATAGCAGGCAGCGTGATAGCAAGGACGCTCGTTTCTCCACCTCAGCCTAATCAGATGGAGAAAAGCTTAAGGTTCAAAAGACAATATCTTAAGTAATCACAATCTGTGCCGCCTGATATAAACATCCCATAATGGCACAATGAGGCAAACTCCCCTTGCGCAAAGGAAACACTGTGTTTATTGTGTCACAAAGTTTCTCCATCTTTGTTCCAACATGAAAAGGATGTCAGGTTTTTAGTTCAGCCTGATTGTCCAAGGCATCAGCCACAGAGTTTCATTCTGAGAAAATTAGATTTCTTTTCTTCTTTTTTGTGCAGTGAATGCAGCTTTAGTGGAAGGCTGTCAGTGAGACGCAAGAGTCCACCTCCACTGCTCGGAGCACGGCTGTCATACCTGCCTGTTTGGATAACACGTTCTCATACAGGTTTGGCAAGATCAGCTGCACAGAGACGAGTGGGAAACAACGGAAAATATGCCATTAACATGTGTTGTCTGGGAGGCTTGACTTGAGTGTTTATGATAGGGAGAGTATTTACACGAAAATGTCGAGCAGAGGTGCAAAGAGTATGATTGCTGCCACACGTGTGTCATAAAGAAAAGATTAAATGGTGTTATCTAACATCAGTGCAAAAGGCAAGCCTGCCCCTTCACATCCAGGCCTCTTTCTGTTATCCAACACATTCTATGTCCATGTTTCACCCTCAGGTCCGCCCACACGTCTCCAAAAACCATTCAGTGCTATCTTTGCCTCAGGAAAACTTAAACCAGGTTGACACAAAGACTCTTGTACCAGCATTGTCCTCCTTCATTGTTGGAGCAGTGGACGCCCATTCCTCTGCTCCCCCTCATACAACATTTGACTATTCTGTAAGGAGAGCTTTTGTTGTCTCAGAGGGGAGGTCATGTTCTCATGGAAATGTACTGGGTGTGAGGTGGCTGCTCCTGGATACATCAAGGGAAAACAGACTCTGAACACAACATCACCACCGCTTGTATTCAAAGAGAGATTGAGGGGGAAATAATTACAGATGTGGTGTATGGGAAAAAAAAAAAAAAGTTTCCTTTAGCTGCTCTGTAGAGCCTCCGAGTTATCATGACATGAACTGGCATTTCATCAAAATGAAGCCTTTTCCCTCTCCTTCGTCCTCCCTCGCTGATCCTGATGAGTGCACAGTGACAGACTGGAGGTTGACTTTGCACTGACAGCAGATCTGTGTCACAGGAGCCGCCCTCTAGCGCTCAGTCTTTTGTCTGCTGCTGCTGCTGCTGCTGCTGGTGTCTACTATCAACAAAAAGTTGATTGTGCTCGTTTAAGGAAAATCCCTCAAATCTCAGCAGCTCTCTGCTCGCAGCATAGAGAGAAATGCTTTGTTTAAACTTCCTGCAGGTTTATGTTGAACAGGATCTCTAATTTTAAACAGTGGCTGCAGCAATAAACAATAGGAAGCAGCTTTAAACCTTTTACAGGGGGGTTATTCTCCACTTTGCAGACACTTTATCATAAAACATGAGGTTTCTGATTAAATAGAAATGTAACATGAAGCTACGCATAGGCAACTTTCTTTTATTATTATCATAAGTGACTGAAAACATAATGTGGCTGATCTCATCTAAGTGTCCCGCTTCAAGGGCTCAAAGTATCAGTGCAGATTAAGTGTTTCTTTTGCAACGTGAAGCTTTGACTGTGAATCTTGCTGTTTGTGGAGCATCACCGAAAGCAAAACAAGTCGGGTCACTGGCTCACTTCACTACTGATAAACAAGTCCTCCGCTCTCTCTCCGAGCGTCTTGTAGCAGCGCTGTCATTGTCCCGTGTCTCACAGAGGAAGTAATGAGCGAAAACAGAGCAAAGTGAAGCGACACCTACCCAGTAATCCATGTCGTCGAGGCTAACTCTTCCCGAAAATCCTCTGTTTGTTGTGTGCTACTCAGGAAAGTGACCTCCCGCAGCCTGCTTTGAGTCTTCAGCTGCTGCTCTACATGCTCCTATCACACACAGCAGCAAGCTAACCCTGATTCAGGAAGTAGCCAGCGGCCTGATATAGATGCGCGCCGCCTGCGCATGCGTAGATCTGAAGCTGCTGTGGATAGGGCTAATCACATGGAAGTCTGGTGTTCGTGAGGCGCCGCGTGCTCTGTAGATCCTCCATTTAAGAAAGGAGTGCAGCAGGTTTGCACGCTCACAACTGGATGAGTTAGCGAAGAGCTGATGCTGCGTTCAAAGGGTCTTTGTAACTTCCACTTCCCAGACAAGTCAGAACAGTTAATTAGAGTAATAACGAGTAACCAGGGCCATAGACCGGATTTTAGAAATAGTGAGGTTATGAGTCCAAGTCCCTTCTGCCCTAAGAATGTCTGCCTAGACACACACAAAAAATTAAGTTTAATTCTCCTTTTTTCCAAATCATTTTGATGGCTTTTTGTTTAAATTGTTGTTTTACATTTTTGCATTCATTTGACATATTCTTAGCAGCTCCCATTACCTGTAAATTTTATTTCTCAACTTTTCATGAGCTTATAGGAACAAAACTATTTCAATCTTTGTGACAATGCCTTTTTCTTATAATCCAACTGAAATAAATAATATAATAATCTCATAATCTAACTGAAATTGTTTATTATTATCCCAGGAAGTGGGACAATTTTCTCAACCCATAGGCTACAGCTAATAGCTAATAACTTAAAGAAATTCAAAATAATCAAATTTGGTGTTGCGTGGTTTTCACTGGATGTCACACAGATTGATTTTCTAGGGAAATACCAAATCCTTTAATCCTTTCATCATTTACATATTTACTTTTTTTTTTTTGGCCTAAAGTGGTAGAAAAACAAATCAACAACAATAATAATAAAATGGTCTGATAGTTATTTTGATTAATCCCATGGTATAGAGCTAGTCTGTCTGAGCTACTCTTTTGAGACCAGAAAATGATCATTGATGTGAATGATCACACTTTGATAATGAAGAAACATGATGAAATTCTCCAGCCACCGTTCTGGAAGTTTACAAGTAGATTATGCAGATTTAATTTGCGATTGACATTACGAGATTTATGAATATGCACTGAAATGTCGTGATTAAATTCTTAAAAAATATTAAGCATCATTTCTCTGCGTTTAGTTTTTTTGACTGAGTCAAATAACTGTATTACTGTTTTTTTGTGATGGAAAACACAGTGGAGTTCCTTATTTATATTGAAAACCAAACCTGGAGAAATGAAACCAGTGAGAATAGACTGTAAAAATTCATTATTTATATACTTCACTGTTAATCTGGGGTTTTTTAATATAATTCATTTATTCTGAAACTTCACATGCAGTTTGTGTCAATTGAAATGACGGCCTTGTGCAGCAGAAAACAAACAGGCTACACTTTAAATTCAATGTTCAGCTTTCCTGACGATAGATGATCGGCTGAACGGGAAACTGTACGATAAAACTGTACTGTGAACTGACTGTAGTGTTGAATTTATTCACTGTGCGTAGCTCTGTAATAGACAAAAGCAGAACGGCAACATGGCAGTGCAGAATATGTAACAGGTTGTCTGATTGTAGAGAGCATCAGAGCAAAACAGTGAGTTATTTATTCTTAGGAACCTGTTCAAAATATCACACGTGACATCAAAGACTTTACAGCTTTCTTTTTTCTTTTCTTTTTTGAAGTGATGGACTTTAAAAAGAAGTGCCAACGGCCGTTTCTGTGCTGCGGAGTTCTTTCTTGTGTTGTAACACAACTCACTGAACAGTTTTTAGTTATATGTTATTTAGTGGATACAACAACGTCAGGTGTGTAACCGCGGCGCCATCTCACATTCCTGTGGTTTCTCTTTGGGGTTCTTCAGGATGACGGCTGAACCTGCTCTCTGAATCACGTAATAAACTATCGGCGACCCGCCGGCTTGGGTGTGGCAGAACTGTGCACAAATTGTGGATGCTGTGACAGAGGAGATCGCGACAGTTATTAGTAGTTACTAGTGGATACTTATCAACATCATGAAATCTGTGAATTCAACTCTCAACTTGTTTTTACTGTAACCTGGATGGGTACTGCAGTGTGTTCAGATTCCAGCCCTTCGACGTCAGTGCATTAGACAGACGGAAAAATACAAAAAACATCTGAGGCTAATTTGCCACCACTGACACCCCTTGGGGGGGGATTCCCCGAAACACAAACACTGCCTTTCATCTTCTGGATTCTGTCAATTGAGAAGAAACGATGAACGGATGTCAGAGGTGACGGGATAAACTATACTGTCTGTGTCTACTTCAGTCTGTAGGAGCCTCACTTCTGTTTTGATTCTGAGTGCATCATGTGACTGATGATCTTCCCTGGTGGCGTTCTAATGTATCCGTTTCTCTCCCATGTGCAATCATTGGTCGCCCAGCACGGCGCGATGATACCTCCTGTCTGGAGCCCGCCACGGGAGGGCTGAGGCGTAGATTCCCCCCTGGCCAGTTCTGGAGTACAAAGTACTGATAGTGACGGTTACTTTTTATCACTGTAGAGGATCACTGAGGAAGAACCTTTGGGGCGTAGCCGTACTGCAGAGGAATGTCACACACACACATAAGGCACAGTAACTATAGTACTATAAATATATCTTGTGGGTCAGATAGAATTAAAAATTTAAATTCCATAACTATTGCATCACACATAATTAAATGTCTGCAACTTGTTTTTGTAAGCTTGTTTTATATGTGTTTAAAAAACAAGAAAGAGTCAGTGAAGAAGACAGCCATCTGAAGCGAATAAGCAGCCACTCCTTTACCTGTGGCGTGTCTGCAGAGATCCTGGTAACACCTTTTACCCTGAAGTCGAACGGGGCGAGTGGATAACCAGCCTTGGCCATGAAGACAATGAGGAAAACCTCCCAGACAGGCATCCACATGCAGCGGAGGTTGTAGCGCACAGCCAGCTGGAACACACCGAGGGAAAGTGTCAAGTGACATCTGACTTCCCCGTTTTCATTCAGAAATACATGCAGAGGGGGAAAAATCTTTCACTCCTGACCTTGGCTACTTCCTCGATGGGATCCATGATTCCGTGAGGAAACTGAGGCGCCGAGCACACGAGCCATGGCTGTGTTCTTGTTGATGGCTTCTCTTCATAGCCTTGAAAAAAGAGGAAACAAATGAGAATGACTGATGTCTAATAATAGCAGTCAGTTAGCACATAGTGTCTTGCGTTGACTGTATTCTCACCTTCCACATCCACTTTCATAGTTTTGTTATCAAGGGGAATGTGAACCAGCTTCATTCCCGAAGTAATGTGCTGCTTTGTAAAGGCTGCGTTGACGCTTACAGAGCGCAAGGCTGCAAAAAGAAAAAAATAAATCATCATGGTTTAGAACACTTCAAGAAGGAACAAGCTCCACATAGGTTCCACGTGTTCATCAGTTACACCTTACATTTCAGGGTATTTGACGTCCTCGTCATTACGCCAATGTCTTGTACGCCTTGCAGGCCATCAGTATGCTCTCAGTTCCCCCTGAAGTAACCTGGCACAAAGCAGAAGTAAAGGTACGTCACATATGCCATCTTTTGGTTACTGGCTTTCTACGTTTTGGGAGCGTTTACCGACAGTGCGGTGACTTACTGTGCCGCAGGAGCTGGGCCCGCTTGGAAAAGTGCGCAAGCCATCCTAACAACCTCTGCCTTCCATCCTTCCTTACGCCAGGAAAAGATGTCGGGGTGAAGTGGATTGCTCCATGCAAAATCTCCATATACCTAACAGCAAAGGCGAAAAAATTTTTCAAATATACAAATATTTCCAGACCACAGGTTGGCAGCACTTTCAATTTAGAGGATGAACAGGACGTGTTTCTCAAAAATTGACAAAAACAGAAGCAAAAAAATAAAAAAAGTAAAAAAAGTACAAACAAAAAAAAGTATTCAAGCTTGGACTCGACTATTCATGCTTGAAATGCCAAGTTCCAGAGATACAAAGGCACGAACCTTCACAAGGAGTTTGGTCAGGGATTCATCGCCCCAGTACACTGCACCCGAAACAACATCCTTTTCTCCCACTGCACCTCATCTGCAACGACACACTGTCACTGGTTTTCTCCAAAAAAAGGTCAGGCAAGTGAAATGCTCTCCTGGGACTGGGCTGCACAGTGTAATGAACCATGAAGGAGAGCTGAGGAAAGAATGACGACTTACTCAGGTCTCGTACTCTCTGATTTGTCCAGCACTTGGCTCTGAGAAGAGACCTTTAGATGGCAGCTGCTTAGTGTCGTAAGCTCATCCCTTTCCTTCAGCGTGCACAGACTGGTCGACATGTCATCCAAAGCATTTGTTCAGCTGGCTCTGGAATCTGCCACTGAAGAGAGGACGGACTTATTTTCAAACTTGTCTTTTGATTGCAAGTAAAAACATATACAAGTAAAGCAGCCAGGTTGTGACAACAGGGAATAAAGGTGGGGATCAGTGTCTCAGACTTGAACGTGACAACATGTCCACTGTGCTATCAACATTTTATGTAAATTTCTTTGATAAAGCCTGAAAGTGAGCTCTCTTGCTGGTGACATAATGACCAGAAGTAACGTAATGTTATCACCAGAGCATTGATGAAGTGTGCATAAGGTCTCCTTCCCGTCTCCCCCCCCCCACCCTTGCATGCTGCACTCAGTCATCCAGGAGTGACTCATTGGAGTCTGAGAGACGAGTCAGTGAACATCTGCTGGGAAAAGACGGAACAGAATTTACCACTGATACTTTACTGCTATTCAACAAAGGGTATTTTTCTGATGAGTCGAAAGCCCTGCTTCTTGATTCGGGATGTGAGACCTATTAGCCAGAGAGGGGAAAAAAAAAAAAAAGGCAGCAGCTGTGGTGAAACTTGGCCACACATTCAACCACAAAATATTAAAACGCTGACTGTGACCTATAATCACAAGTCAGGATGAAGAGTGCGCCACTAAAACTCGCAGCCATATTGACAAAGCATTTTTTATTCATGACCCTGAAAGCTCTGAAGACGTGCAGCTAGTTCTCCCTG